GCAGTTCATATATGAATTATTTCATATAAACTTCAGACCAGGAAATTCCAAGCAATCTGATCTCTTTATTGAAATTAATAATTTGCAAAGAGCCAGAAAGGATTAACACATTAGCTAGAAAGAAATACTTATTAATAGGACTGCAATGCATGCAAAGTGGAAGGCGCAGTGCCCTCATGGTTAGTGTGCTCGTCTCCGGATCGGGCGGTCCGGGTTCGAGCCCTGGCCGGGGGCATTGTGTTTTGTTCTTGGGAAAGACACTTTACTCTCTCAGTGCCTCTCTCCACCCAGCTGTATAAATGGGTACCAGCGAACTTAATACTGGGGGATACCCTGTGATGGACTAGCATCCTACCCAGGGGGGAGTAGAAATACTCCCAGTTGCTTCATGCTACGGAAACTGGGATAAGCTCTTGCCTGGTGGGCTACTTGGCTCTTATGCAGACTTTACCTCACCTACCTTACTGTATACAAATGGATACTGCATCAGGGCTCGAAATTAACAAAATCCTTAAGTTGCCATTTGGCGACCAAGTGGTAAAAAATAGTCGCTAAATGTAAATTCTTAGTCGGAAAATCTTATAGAAGAGACACAATCCATAGACATACATGACGTACTCAATACTCAAGGGCTTGCAATGCATTATAAGGCGATTTTGCACAGGTATAGCCATTTTGAAGGTTTTGAAAGAGAGAGTCGTTTACTTTAGTGTGCCTTAGAATAAGCAAACATGGCGATCCAGTTGGCAATCAAAGAATCATGGGTTTGTTTATTATATCTATTCAAATAAATTGTGTCTTTCATTCACAAGTAATGTTCTTTTTCCTTTGAGATTACTGCTAGCCCTTTTAATTTGTGTCAGTCAAGGCAAAACCTAGTCGCAACTTTGCGACTACTCTCGTTTTTCTAGTCGCGAATAAGTAAAGTTAAGTCGCAAATGCGACTGTATTGGTCGCAATTTCGAGCCCTGTGCATCATAATTCTTTGCATGCACTGCCAGCCCTTACAGTTCACAGGAAAACATCACACAGCCCAACTTTACTTTATGCTTGAAGTGCCTATGAAGTGAAAAATCTTTTGGTGTTTTTCTGTCGCTTGTTACATGTATGTCAACTTTTCAAAATTGCCAAAAGCGAATAATGTTGAAGACAGAAAAATCGAATTTGGCAACTGAAAGTAGGTCCATTTTGCCCATGACCAAAACGAGTGTATTACAAGGTCGTGACGTAGGAAATTGTTCAGATGACTTCATCGCTACTTTCCAACTTTTGTATCTTGGAACTTTCACCAGAGGGCACATATCCATCAGTATCTGCCATTTTACTTGCAAAAAATAGCGAACTTCGAAGAAATCTTCAATGGCAATTCACATGGCTACAGAGGTGAAGTGGGGTAAACAAATCGCTGGAACAATTTCCTACATCATCGCTTTTTAACTTGTTACCAGTCTCCAGACCCACTGTTTTGCTATACTGAGCTCACTTTGGGCGGCAAAAAAGTCAGACTTTTTCTCTCTTTAACATTACTGACTTTTGGCTGTTTCAATAAGTAGACATAACAAGCAACAGAAAAACGCAAAAAATATTTTCACCTCATACATGTAAGCATTTTAAGTAAAGAAAGGTCTCACTAATCTAGTCACTTCTATATTAGTCAACAATGATTAATCATAAAACTCAATGTATATTTATCAGATCTGAATGCAGGACTTACGATGCAGTTCTTCTGTCTCTCTATCAAGTTTAGCAGAGTCCTTGTTTGCTGAATGCTGCTTGTTTGAGCCGGCACCAACTGTTTGTGAGCACAAGTAAATACTTGTTATTATTAAAATTATGGTTAAAACAGCTGAATGAGTCCATGACTAAATTCTGCCAATTACAGTGTTTCATTACTGATCTAGCATTTTCTAGTAAGATTTCTTTATCATTCAAAAATTCATGTAATAAATCATTTATAAACCAAACTTGTTCAGTGCCACACTGGGAAGAAATCGGCCTTTTTTATGCATCAACCTCACTGTGCTTAATCCATACTATCAAAACCTAAGGGAGATATTCTCCGAGAACAGCTCTGGAGCTTGGCTTACAATATTGAGCTCCATGTACATGTACCAACGATAACACCAACCACACGTTTTGCTGCAGTTTGAATTGGCTACATGGCTTTGCTTTGAGCTTTGATTAGTTCACTGTGTTGCCTGTGTTCATTGTGATTGGCAAGTAAAAGTGATTACTTTGGGTTTGGTTTACACACTCCACTGAAAAGCACTCTTACTCTGGCATTCAACCAATAATCTTTGTCACAAAAAGGTGTGCAAAGCTCATAGCATTTTGTCTTGACTGTCAACTTACATTTTTGTGTTGTTTCTATTGGACCTCCATGTCTCTGAGCTGATGCAACGGCCTTTGGAGAAACCAAAACAAAAGATATTTTTAACAAAAAAAAAAAAAACCAAAGAAAATGTAATTAAAATGAGGATGTTCAGTCTGTACAAGGAACTGTGGAAACCCCTTTTAAATATAACTCTGACCAAAGTCAGGTAATGACAACACAAAAGCTTTCAGTTTCTTTAGCAATAGTCCTGCAAAGCAGTGGTGAGAGCTCAAAAGAAGTGCCCTCCAGTTGTCGGGGACAAGTAGATTCTCCTTCTGGGTATGTAACTTTTCACTCCCACTTACCCGATGGGCAAGGGATCAGGCAAGTCATCTGCCAACTAAACTATCAAAAGAGCAAACTACTAGCTACTTGTCCCAAGGGTACTGGAAGCAGGAATTCAAGTTTTTTTTTTTGAGTACTGAGTGGTGTCAATTTATTAACACTAGTCTACCTAGCTAATGAGAGATAATCATCTTCTCATATCACACACAGGCAGTTTGAAGACCACTAAAATTGGCAATTTAAACTATAAAGCACACCGAGAACAACATCAAGCACAGTACCATGCAGCAACAGTATTGGAAGTATATTTATAATGTTAGTGAGTAAGTCATGGGTTGCATGTGGTTGGTGTGAAGACATAAACAGGGGCGGTGGAGCCGGAGAGCCTGGGGGGGGGATCTTTAGCCCCCCTCCCCCACCCCCCATTTCAAGCAAAAAGTACATAAAATAATAATTTTACAAATGTCTCCAGACCACTACAAGTTAGCGCCTCTGGCGCTCGCTTGTAAGCCCCTCAATTCAAAATACGCCCCGCCATCCCTGATAAAGATTGTTAGTGGTACTTTTCACCCACAATTAATTGAAATTTAACATCGAAATTGCTGAGTAAAATATTTTTATCTCACGAATTTGTAAGCTTCACAATCAGTCAGCCCGAGTCAAATTGTTACCTGTTTAGATTTCAATTCTGCTGCTCTCGGTGTCTTCTTTCGAAGGTAGGTAACAGAATCCCAGTCAGATTCTGCCTCTGCCATTTCTATTTTATATCAAGGCAAGTGTAATTCACAGACGATGTAAGTGAACACACGAACTGACTTCACTGGAGTGAAAAACAAAGCATCAAGCATGCGTATTGTCAAGCCGCTGACCTATTTTTCAGCAGGCTCATATTGCAACCTGAACTGAAATCAGCTAAAAAAACTGTATCTCAGGTGCAAATTCAAACGAAATGACATCGTAACAGCGGGAAAATAATTTTCCTGATAAATTGTCTACCGAATCATGTCCCTGAAGCAAGCGAAGAAGAGACGATACAATGATGCAATGACCACTCTAACTAGTTCCCAGGGTCCTATCGGTGGGTTGTTGTAGAGGAGAGAGCTGGGCCCCACTCGTCCAAAACTAAAATGGCCGCGTTTGGTCGATCTTCTGCTTAACTTTCACTGTTCTCGCATTATTTGTTGCTGAAACTTCAACGGATGGGTAAGTCAACGGAAGAAAAGCTCTTCTATTATATTAAGACAGGGAAACTACATCGTGTCCGATCTCTCTTCAAGAAATACGAGCCATCCCATTTAACTGCCCTCGTTGATCGTAAAGGAAGAACTCCTTTGCACGCTTGTTGCCTTCTCGGTGATGATGCTATTATGAGGCTGCTATTAAAAAAAGGAGCCGACGTACGAGTTCAAGACAGCGATGGGAATACGCCTATTCACTTTGCTTTAAAATACGCAATACAGACAGTGAAATTCCACGCATTCGACGACCTAATTGTGCCTTTGCTGAAGGCATGTACATGTAGAGGCCATGTTTTTGACATAGAAAATAACGAGGGGAAAACACCAAGGGAATACCTGACTGTGTTAAAAAGAACGTTTGCCCAGCGAAGGGAGGAAGAGGAAGCTGAAAGAAAACAACGGTGGCGAAAGGAGGACAAAGAGATGTCAGAAAAGAAGGAGAACTTAGAGTGGGAAAGCAAACTGCGGTTTGAAGCAAGCCAAGAGGATTACAGTATTTATAGCCAAGATGATTATCTTGAAAACACACAGGAGTCTTATGATGAGTGGGTGGAGAGAATCGCGCGTGAAAGAAGACGAAAGACTGAATCAAGTAAGCACCAGAAACCAGACACAAACAAGCGACAGGAGCAGCAAGAACAAAAGGCAAAAGAGCGAACCAAGGAACTTGAGAAGGAACATGAAGCTTACATAACACGGATATCTATCCAACGTCAGAAATTGAAACTTACGTCATCACTAACGGACTATGAAAAGCATTGTCGAGAAATATTCCACAGTAATACAATGTCAACACTTAAATTTGTGGATTTACCTTGGCCTTTTGAGGGTGACACTAAACAAATGATTGACCTTCTTGTCAAGTGGTCAGAACTGAAGTCAAAAGAAGAACGAAAGAAATTTCTGAAAGACCAGCAAGTAAGATGGCACCCAGACAAGTTTCTACAGAAATGTGGCAACAGACTTGATGAAGAGGACAGAGAAAAAATTATCGAACAAGTAAAGGAACTTTCTCAAGAAATTAATGCAATATTAGAGGGTGAATTTTGATGTTTTGACTAATGTAAAATACGACTTATAAAATAAAACCCCTTTAAACTCTGGCATGTAGTACTCTGTTCCAGGAGCCAAAACTACAGACTTTAGAGAAATCTCCGACTACTCAAAAAGTTTAAGAAACCCTGTTTACCCTGGAAATACATGCCTCTTTTTGCTCCCAGCCACGTAGAGCTTCAATCACACAGCCTGCATGAGAGTGAGTTAAGTGTCTATTCCAATCATGGGTTACCAGGATTAATTCCATACCAGTTGGTATAATTTCAATTAGGTTGTAGCTCTGTGTTGATTGAGATGGTTCTAGGGCAAACAAGTCATCTGATCTGACAAGTTAATGGTGCTTGCGGAGATTTCCGTTTGATGTGAAACTTACACCAACCAGTATGGTGTAAATGACGAATGGTGATTGGTCTGAAATCAGTGTCTTGGTAGACTGCAATAATTATTGGTGTTTATCATCCAATCCAATAGACGATATTTGTATTCTTGATATTGGACTGAAACTAGCTTGCAATGGATGCTGATACAGGGGAATGTCATTAAAAAGAGATTAATGTCATTTACATTTGAAAAGACTCTCTGCATTAGCCTCGGTTGCAAGCTAGTTCCAGCCCAATACTGGGAATACGAAAATGGCCCATTACAAAATAATTTTATCTTGCCACCAAATGGTACTCATTTGTATTGGAAGATGGGTGGATGAAGGCCAGTCCTGAATAAGCCATCTTGTCTGGCCTGCACATCTCAACTACAATAATTTATTTTATTAGAGTACTGCTGATTCAGACCATTCACCAAAATATTTTCACAAAATCCTTCTCACAATTCAAGGTCAGCAAAGGTGACCTGATATAATAATTTACTGATTTAGCAAGATGGCTACTGGTATATGGGAATACTAACTTGTTGCTGCAATACATTTCCCTCTCTGGCCATTGCAGTAAGAGAGTAAGCACATATTATTGCATCTAAAGCATTCACCTTAATTATTTTAGGCTGACAACAAGGTAACTTAAGTTCAATTAATAATTCAGTAAACAATAATATTTTATTTCATTTGAAGTAAACCTCAGTATAATGGCTGAAGTTAGGTGCCACTGAATTTCTTATACAACCAGGTTTTCATGGACCAAAAGGTATCAACTTCTGTCACACATTGTTTACAATAATTTCTAGCCTCAAATAGTTTTAAACACATAGCTTTTGGTACAAATGACCAATTTAATATGGCTTTGGTTCAACAGAAAGACCAAGCAGATGATTTTTTTTGTGCAAGTCTGTAATTTCCTCATAATTTGAAGTTTTGCAGTCAGCGAAAGCTAAAAAGGGTGTTGATACTTGTCCAAATTGAAATATGTCACGTTGGAATATCTTTGTCTGACAGTTCTTGATAATCTCTAGTCATTCCTCTCCCAGAATAAAATATCAAGTCCATTTATTCTCTAAAAAATAACCTTGCAACAAGACAATATTCATATGCCATAATTCTGAAAGTTATAGTGACAAGTTCAACATAATCGTATGTCAAGTAATCTGTACTAAAGTTAAACCTTAGAGAAAAATAGGAAACTGAAAATGCAAGTATATAATTCCAAGAAAACACAAATTCCAAGTACTCAGTCAGCAAAATACAATTGTTTTAACCTGTGAGTATTTCAGAAATCAATATTTATCGACTGAATTATTTAACATACAAAAAAATATGTCATTAACAATAAATTCTGATTTGACCTTGAAATTTAACTTGAGGACTTGGGTTTGCACTGGTTAAAAACTGAGAAACAATAATACAACCATCTAAGAGTCTTCTTTTACAAACCCCTTATTTATGGATACACTGCATATATGTATTTGAATTGTAACCAAACCTCGGAGTGAAAGTGATTTTAAGTTGACATTGACAACATCAGGTCTAGTCTAACCTTTCTACACAGGCTTAGAAGGTATAAAATGGACTACTCTAATCTCCTAAATAAACACTTTAAATATAAATAAACACTATATGAATTAAGAAATTACTGTGAAAAGGTGCTGGTTAAGACTAGAAAAGGCAGCAATGAGACAAAAACAAAATAAACCTAGTAAATTGACTAACGTTCGGTATATTACAAGACAGCAATTAGTGGAACTAGATAACTGCTGCAGTCTAGCGGTCTGGATACACATCATAACTAATTCTCTGCTTTGCCTTTTCTTTGCAGTACTTCTTGTGAGAAGGCCAGTCTCTCTGAAAATAATGATCATTGACCAAACAAAAAAATCAGTTAGGATTTGCAATGTAAAAAATAATATATTAATTATAATTAATAAATACGTATGAGACATGACATGAAGGCTGTAAAAGGGTGTTGTTCTTGTGGTACCACACCCGTACAAGTAGTGTTTGATGTAACCATCTCTCAATATTTAGTACGGTGTGCTAAACCTTGATTACATGTATTAAAACCCTGATTTTTTGACCTTTCTTTCTTGAAAAATTTATTTGGTATTTTTATTAAACCCAGAGTCTCCAATTCTTTGCCCACACCCAACTCCTTTCTTTTCACTATCATGGATACTGCAGAACTAAGAGATTGTATGATCGACCACAAAAGACTTCCAGTGCAATATATTTCATTCCAACACTTCAAACAGTGTAACTGGCAACTGCATATTTGTATTAAGTATACTATAGATTATAGTCACCTTATTCCAAAATGGCCGCCATTTTAGTATTCTTTTGTTTACTTGAAAATGAGCCCTTGTTGCCTCATTTAAGGGAAAATATTCTTTTGAATTTTGAGTTTAAGAGCAAGGCAAAAAGGGCTATTTTGCAAGTAAACAAAAGAATACTTAAATGGTGGCCATTTTGGAATAACGTGTATTACATTATACTATAGATTTCAGAAATAGGAAATACTTGAACCATATTTCCCCCAAACGTTCACAAGTGTTTTAGTCTATAACTAGGTAGAAACATGGAAAATGTTTTCTATTTCCCTAACAAAATACTCAGAGAAAAACACATGAAAATCAAGAGCAGATTAATTGCACAATATCATCATTTGACTACAACTACCAGAATTTCTTTTGATTTTTATCATACACATTTTGAAGTCCCAGTTAGGTTTAAATAACAATTGCCCTAATTAGCATAAGAAATGGAAAAAAGTGAAGGATTCTGGTAGTTGTAGTCAAAAGACACCATCATGAAAATTGCCTAATATTGTTTATTTCAATTTCAAATGTAAATTCTTTTTGCTCATGCCATCATTGCATCAAGTACTTGTGCTAGTTCTGTGTTTCTATCAAGTTAAAGAATCACACCTCTTAACTTGCACCTCCCTACAAAGCGTTTTGTAATATTACTTATAACATGTTGTATACAGTTGCTAACCTCTTGACAAAGAGCTCCACAGTATCGTACTTGTTGGCACTGTCCACAGATACTGAACTCCCGAAGCTACAAGGTCACCAAAATTAAAACTATGTTAATTAAAATAGAATCTACAGTACATGTTGGTTTTGTGCTTGAAAAATTAAAACAAAACAATACAAAAATACCAACAAAAACAGACATATCAAATGCACAATTTCTATTGAATAAATATAATGAATGTAAGAATGTGTACTCATTCTGGAATGTCCAAGCATTTCAAAAAGTGCAGGCATCTTAGGGCTTGAAAAAAGTGCCGTCCAGCTGTCCAGGACAAGTAGATTTTCCTTCTGGGCAAGTACCTTTTCATTCTCACTTGCCCAATGGGTAAGGGATCAGGCAAGTTGTCTGCCAACTAAATCATTAACAGAGCAAGCTAAGACTTGCCCAGGGCAAGCAAAATTTGAGAACAACTAGTCCCAAGGGCAAGCAAAATTTGAGAACAACTAGTCCCAAGGGCAAGCTGGAATTCAAGTTATTTTTCAAGCCCTGCATCTAAATTCACAGTTATGCATACTGTCTAGCACTTAGCTTTAAAGCAATGGCAACAAACACCTGAAAAACATCCAGGCTTCAACAGGAGCTTTTAAAGCTACTGATAACCAACTGCAAAAAATTTTAATAAAACAGCACAAAATATCTCAAGACTCACTTCAGTTTCAATTTTACAGCATGGGGGATAATGGCATTCATAAAAGGACAATGTGTCATCTGAAAGAAAACAAGAGATTAACCATGTACATCTGTAATGAACATTAGCAAAGTTTTCTCCTGATGGAACACTGTTTGATCTTCCAAAGTAGGAGAGGGAGGGGTGACAATTGTGGTGGTATTGCTCATTGGGGAAATGGGGAATCTTGGGGAAATCAATCTTTTTGGTAAAATATAGCTTTAAAGGAAGNGCGAACTTTGAAGAAATCTCCTTTGGCATTTCACATCATTTCAGCATTTCATCGCTTGTAAACTCGTTGCCAGTCTCCGCACACACTGTTTTGTTATACTGAGCTCACTTTGGGCGGCAAAAAGTCGGATTTTTCTCTTTTTAACATTATTCGCTTTACGCAGTTTCGAAAAGTAGACATAAAAAGCGACAGATAAACGCAAAAAAAAAATTTCACTTCATAGGCACTTTAAGTGTTCCATCATGTAATATTTTTGTATTTTTAAACAGATGCAAATCAGTTATTATTTAAAATCAGATGTAAATTAATTGCTTATGTTTTCAATTTTTTAAATTATATTCGTAATTATTGTAAGGCGATATTTTGAATAAACAGTTATTTAATATTATATTGTTACTTTATTAAATGCTCTCTTTACAACTTATTGATGGTACTGATGACCTCAATTTCTTCCATTCCATGTATGTCCTTTCTTCGCTTTGGCTTTAAGAGCATATTTCACCTCGCGTTCTTTATTAGCTTAACTTCCAACCTAATCCGATTACGACAAAGCAGAAATTTACAAGACACAACAAGACTGGTGACAAGTCCTCTGTTCTCCGTAGTTAAGTAATGCAGATTAACGCATTCTTTTGGCGCCCGAGCGTTGCATGATTAGAAGTCTGTAGTCCATTACAGGCTCCCCTAACATTTTGTCAGCCTAGCATTCCTGATAGTTCACTTCCTTGTTTGTTACTTTAGGCACCATACTGTGTATGAATGCTACTGTGGATCCTGATCTGTTGAAGTTGGTACAACAGCACGTTAATACATTGAAGACAGATGTAGAGCAGTTGACATTTGAAGTGCAGGAGGATAAGAAGCGAGTAACACAAGCACTTAAGGACATTTTAACAAGTCTAGAGGAACTAGAAGCAAGAGTTGCGAGTGTGCAGCATGAACAAGAAGTCATGAAACAAAAACAAAGTTTGCTCTCGAAGACAGTAGATGCCTTGCAAAGCGATGTGGATACAAGAGTTGTAAGTGTGCAGCATGAACAAGAAGTCATGAAACAAGAACAAAGTTCGCTGTCGATCAAAGTGGATGCCATGCAAACTGATTTAGAAACTTTGAAACTACTTCAACAAGAAGATGTACAACGACGAGTTACACATATGGAGAAACAACGGAGTTCTCAGTCTTGTCCCGAGGAGAATCAGGATCGAGGTATAGATATTTTACTGACTAGCTTTAGCGGTTAATTTACCTTTATCATCTTGAAGTTGATGATTAGGTAATTGAGTTGCAGAAACTGATGACTTTGAGGTGTAACTCCGACTTAGACTCAGTTATATCTATATAAAGTTGTTTGACCAAGCATACTTCAAACAAGGCATGTATTTACTGCAATTATAACCTTACAAAAAAAGCGATAAATCTCTTCAATGGAAGAAATTTAATTAAATTGAGAATCACGTATCGAAATGTGAATCATTGTTAGAAAGGGCCTTGTAGTTGAGCTCCAGAGTTGTCCTTTTTGACGAGTGATAGCATAGCTAGAGGGAATCATAGTTATAGTGATCAGATTATGCAAATAAGATTTCAGGCTATCATCCGTAAACTTTTAGCGTTAATTCCGCTAGCCAGTGTATTCCGCAAAAGGAACTGAACGATTAACCGAGAGATGAACTGATCTTTCGAGTCGAATAAGTCCTCCCATTAAAGGCTATTAATTAAGAAATAGAAAACATGTACTGTGTTTCTATCGAATTTTAGTAGAATTCTACAAGTATATTAATGCAAATGCTGTAATCTGCTTGGCCGAGCCATTGAACACTATTTAGTGAGCAGTGGCTGGAGGTCGTTTTGGAAATGGCGACGTCTTTTTCATTTTCCAAAGTTTTGGAGGAACATTTTGATGCAAATGGATAGTTAAATTCCAGAGAAGTCAAAATGAAGGACATTTACAGTTTCTTGACATTTGAAATTATTGAAAAAACTGATGCGCGCGCGCACAACTTCAATTTTAAATGACAATTCAAACCGAGCGACCTTTTTCAGACGTAAAGCTTAATAATACGTCGAGAAATAATTGGAAACCGTTATTTGAAGTAAATTTTAGTGAGAATTCTACTAAAACAATTAGATTATTCGCTCTCGATTTCTATGAGGTGATAGTTGACGAGGCCGAGGGCCGAATTAACTATCACCTCATAGAAATCTCGAGCTCATAATCTAATTGTTAAGTAGAAACACGAGTGGAAGTTTGGGAGAACGAGAAATGTTGTGGGAACGCGACTTTCACGAGTATTTCTATAACTCGATAGAAACACGGAGAACATGTTTTCTATTTCTTTTAGAAAACACCGGAAACAGTCCTAAGAAAAAACGCGCGCTGATTGGTTAAAAACCGTGTTTCTATAACTCGATGGAAACACAGAACTTGCACGAGCTGTTGATGTGATGATCTTGCGAGCAAAGAGAATTTACTTTTTGATGATCAAAGTTAACAAATTGTTTTCCTCTTTTTCGTCGCGGTATTTTCTAAAAGAAATAGCAAACATGTTCTGCGTGTTTCTATCGAGTTATAGAAACAATCGTGAAAGTTTGGGAGAACTCGAAAAAGCTGTGGAAACACTCCCTGCGGCTCGTGTTTGTAATATTTAGGCTTCAAAGCAAGGATTTATTCCGCATACAAGACATACAATTCAAGAAGTGAACAAGATGGTGGATCACGAAAAGCACATGGACT